TCAGGAGTACAATCATTCCTTACCACCTTCTAAACTTGTTTTGCCAAAGATTCAGGTCTCTTCTTATAATTCCTGTAAGCTCGCTGAATAACTGTTGCATAGAAATTTTTAAAGCTATAATTATAGTATTTAGGAATCGAGAATCCCCATGATTGCTTCATCAAACTTCCCTCCTCTCTTCCCATATTTATTCGAAAAAAAGAAAGGATCAATTTATTGTATTATTATAATAAATATGTAATATACTATTTTGGTAAAAAATCTATAGCTCAGAAAACTCGTTGCACATATTCACAATTATTTTTCGAATCTAAAAAATCTATACTATTAAGCTTTCCCTCAATGGTGAAATATCCAGATTTATAATAGTCAATTTCTAAGAATTGCATGGATCCATTCTACCATGTGATTTGCACATCTCATATTATGCATATTCTGAACTTTTAACGAAGTTTACATTACCATTATTATAGTATTTATTAATATGATAATATCAGGATTTGATAGCCACTTTAATATTTAACATATAAGACCAACCACCATATTTAACAATTTTATAGCCTTGCAGACATAATTCTATAAAAGTAACTATGTATATTACATTATTTAATCATTTTCATAATTGATTTCTTTTCTTTTCTGCTCAGCTTTGTGGATCATAATGATTATATAATGCAGGAATATGCTGATTATATTCAGGTACGTTTTTAGCTTGAATTCTATCTTCATAATTATATCCCATTCAATTATAGTATATATATCGATCATTAGAAACTCTTATTTTGCGAGGAGTTATATTTATAAACTTCTTCTCGTCAAGGATACTATCATTTCTCATCATATTTCAAACTCGTTTTGTCTATATTTCAGGTCTTAACTTGTAAACTTTCTAAGCCCGTTGGATAACTTTTGCACTATTAATTAAATGATTTACATGTCTTTTTCTAATTTCATATTCATACGCATAACTATAATTAACTGAATATAAAACAATATGTTTAATAAATCTTTTCAATCTCATTAGAAGTGAGTTTTGATACACTTTCTTTTTTTTTACATTTTTCTGTATAGGTTTAGAATATACGAGATGCCTTTCGGCAATGCATTTCTTCAGATGATCATTCACATATTTGATGGTATTTTTCAGATAATTATTAAGGAGTCACATACAGTACAATAAATATGAAATGAACATCTCCCAGCTTTAAATTCCCCATCTTTATATAATCTTTCAATCATATGGATAAATTTATTCTTCGAAAAGTATTTTAGATTATATTCAAGAAGTTTCTTAAATAAATAATGAATACGAAAATACCACATTTCCAGTATTTCATTACTATACTTATATTGCAGATGGTTTAATGCATGCACTACTACAGGATTTAAACCAGAATAGTTGTTTTTAACCATTTTATGGGTATAAAAAGTTTATAGCAATTTACGATTTATAGTAGTTTTAATAACTTATAACAGTTTGTAATAAGTATTTTATAATAAATATCAGATTCATTTTTATTCGATCACAAGCATATCGAGGGTTTACATAAAGTCCACATCTGGCTATATACATATTTACATGCATTTAAGGGATTTCTCCTTTTTTCTCTGAAAGTACAAGAAAGGAAAATTATGCTAATTTTATAATATACGATATATGTCTTACACAAAAAAATGAATGTATATTTGTGAAATCAACCATCAAGGATCACTTTATTAAATTTTCAGATAAATCCCTTTTTGGCTAAGAATTATAAAAGAAAGCTATAAGGATAATGAAATAAAATGATACTCATAGAACCAAAAAGGATCTAGGATCCTAGACCATAAATGAGAGTCTATAGCATCAAGTCATTTCTTTGCTCTATTGTAAAATTCTATACTATTTTTTTCTACTATTATTACTATTACTACTACTGCTACTACTAGAATTCCCCCTCCCTTTTCTATTAACCCATGTTTCTATTTTATCCAAGGAAATAGTCCTCAATATTTTTTGATAGTGGTAGAAACTCGCTAAAATTGTAGAGCTTAAATGTATTTCTTGAGAAATTATATTGTATAACTGTGTATGAGAGCGCCTCTCCCTTCTTCTTCTTTGATTAAACAAAGCTGTGAATTTTACCCATAAAGTTTGGACTTCATCAGAATATTCTGAATATTGACTGGTAGATATACAGCTAAAAGAGAATCGAGATGAACCTAAATGATAAATAATAAAAAAGTTAGTACCTATTTACCTTTGAAGACATAGCAGAATATTTTTACCTTGCAATACGCGATCTTATTCTACCTCTCCTTTTATTTTTTGTATTCCATTATTTAATGCCAATATTAAAGATAGTTCTCATAATTATTTTTAAAAATTTTAACTAGTTACAACTTAAGTTGCAATACTTTGAGTTGCAACTATTTATGAATTTTTATATTAAAATAAATTTACAAGGAATTGCAACTAAGTTGTAACTCAAGTTGCAATTTACTGAGTTGCAATTTCTTAATTATGATGCTCATCTTTAACCAATATTGATTTTTCAAGTTTGGCAATTTGTGTAGTTAGAGTTGGAGAGAGATATTTGCATAAAAATAATATGCCTCCTGCAAAGATTATGTACATTATAACATTCCCTGCGAAAATATCTTAGAATGCCTCTATTGTTAGAACACCCTGTATTAGCATCTCATAGATTTTAATTACAATGCTGAAGAATACAATCAAAAACATATTAGAGTTTGAAAGCATTTTATGATGAGAGATTGATTTGAGAGATTTGTTTAAAAGGTTTGAATAAGATTATAAGGTATATGCAAAACTTTATTTTTTGATTTGCGATAATTATGCTTAAAAAGCTTTTTGCTTTTATTTGGAGCAAAATACTTAGAGTACTTTAAGAATTGATTGAATTATGCTTTTGCAAAATTATAATATTACTTTTTATTTGATTCTCTTACCAGATACCACCACCATATCTGGTGTTTTTATAAAAAATTCTTTCGCAGTTGATCACTATGATCATTACAAAATATGAAGGCTATTATAACAAATATGGCAATCCTATCTATTAATTTGCTGATCTTGATTCCAAAATTAATCTGTATTAACATTCAGGCCTCTAATCAATAAAATCAAAAATATAGCATCCTTTTTTGGTCAAGCATTTTAGGCAAAAAGTTTACCATTATTTTTCTCACTAAAATGATTAGGTTATCTCTCACAGAAGAAAGGGTTCAATGAAAATTGTCATAAAAGTTTGATTTGCTATAATGAAACTAGAATGCTAATAGCTCATCAACCAATGACCCAATTTTAATGAGGATTTAATGACTGGATTCTTCAGGTTCTGAACTTCTATCATATCAAAATTCGTGAAAATCTGATCACTAGATGCAGAGATATTTCGAGAAATGTAAGGTCAATTATTTTAAACATAATCATGAAAAAATCTTGGAAAGACCACATTGCCAAAGTGATGTGTGAAATGTTGGTAACCTGGAAACCTATAAAATACTAGTTTCCAGTTCTGAGAACTTAAAGAAGGTGAGAAATTGGTAGGTTGTTATGTAAGAATTCATAGCTACTCGGTGAGTCCCCTAATGTATTATTTGCACTATATGAGTATTGAAAATTTATTCACCTACAAAACGTGTTTCAGAAGTTGTGGAAATCCCAAACCAATTCGACCAGATGCATGGTATTGAAAGCTTCAAAACAAGCTAAGGTGTGAAATATTTGGATCACAGGAAGCCAGAATAGCTTTGACAGTTGGAAAATTTATTGTGTTATATCATGAGTTAGAAATTGACAAATTGTAAATCGATTTTGCGTAATGCAAATATAAAGGAACTATTACTTCCTGATGCTACGATCGTCACAAAACATGAAACAAATATGGTAACTCTGATGTCTATTAATTTGCTAATCGCTAAAAAAAATAGACTAATATAATAATTCAGTATATAATTCACCTAATAATTCTTCTAGCCAGATACTGGAAATATGATAAGACTCATCATTGGTGAGGATTTTCTTTCGTATCTTCCATTACAATAATAATAATCTCTATCACAACTACCATATCCATTATCATACTTATCATCATTATCCGATCCATATGGTATCTCTTCTTCAGAATCACTATCATGATTACAATCACTATCATCATCCGTTAGCTTTGCTAATACTTTTGGTGTTTCTTCATTTGTTCTTTTCACTTTCTCATCTTCAAAATAAAAATACACATCATTATCATTGTTTGTCTTAGCAATTATTTCAGACTTTTTAAAACCCTTCTCAATCAAATCATTCACTTCTTCTTCCTTAAAATAATCTGTAACATTAGATGTATCACTAAAATTATCATCTGAATCATGAACTGAAGTAGTAGCCACTATCTCAGAGATTTCGTTTACAGGAATAATGGTTGTTTTCAATTTGACCTGTTTTATGATATATTTAATTTGAAAATTAGTGAGCCTTGAAATTTTGTAAGCATTACAGGTGATCTGTTGAACCATATAGACCGGTATACCTTTAATTTTTTTTAGAATTATAGGATCATATTTATACCCAAATAACCTATTGATTTTTCTCGCTTTATAGATCATTACTTATAAATATCCAATTGAAATATCTGCGAGATATGGCTTCATTTTATTATAAATCTGCTTTCTTGCAATCTGATCCATAAGTTTTTTATTATTAGACCTAAGCTTCATAACTTTATCTTTGAACCTTTTAAAGAATAAATACCATAATGTAATTTCTAATCGCTTTGCTATGATCGTTTTATTTCTTGCAACATTCGCCTGGCAGAATGAATTGACAAGTTTTTTGATGTTTAATGATCAAGGAACTATGATTTTAGAGAAGAAAACTTTATAGTCTAGAGTGGATCATCAGATGAGAATAGCTTTTTTAACAAATATTATACAAATTTGGTTACTATACTCAAGGAAGCCTGAATATTCCCACTATTTTTGATCGGTAGAATGTAGTCCCTTTAGAACACCTCTGGTAAGCTATCAGAAGAATTTTCTTTTCCCGATCTTTCCATCTCTATATTTCTATCTATCTCCAGGTAGATATTAGAAGGAGTATTGGCAATTTCTTCCTCTTGTTTTTGTCTTTCATGTGATGATTTTGAATTTTTAGAAAACCTCTTAACTTTTTAAGGGGTTTATATCACATGATAATTTAAAATATTCAGGATACCTGTTAATGGGTTTTATATCATACATCACTTTCAAATTTACTGTGAGGATTTCTTTCTGAAGAATATCTGCAATGACCGATTGAGGAGTAACCATCACAGTTTCTGATACATAAGCAGTATCGGAGATGCTATTCTGATTAGCTGATTCACGCTGGAGTTTCTTCTCCTTATTACATTATTTAATATCTTCACCAACGCTTTTTTATGTGACTCAACCAAGAAATTATCCATCTCTTTCTTCTGCGATAGTTTATCATGGTGGTCTATGTCTGAATTAAAGTTAGATAATTTGTTGTTAGGAGTATTACCATTTGGCAACTGCTTTATCAGTGGTATCCGTCTTATTTTTCTCTAGATCCTTAATTCTAGAGTCACGTCTGTTATTCTTTTTCATTATCTGCTTTATAAGCTATGCATTTTTGGTCTCAAACTCAATAACCTTCTTTTTAAGTTTGTGAATTTCAACATCCTTAGCTTCAAATTTAGTAAGCTTCTTTCTAAGTTCAGGAATCTCAGAATTCTTGACTTCGAGCTCAGCCTTAAGTTTAGTAATACATTGCTTTAATAGATTATTTCAGTTTGTATATCTTTGTGATATCAAATATTAGTATTTAAAATTGAAAAATTCACGTGACATCCTGACCAATGGTCAGCAACTTTTGTCAAGAAAAAAAATGAAGAGACAGGTGTTGTGCATAGATCAGCAAATTCTTCTAAGATAATGATCACTGCTTCTAGTAAAAAGTTCAGAAATAAAATCATTTGTAATTTTAGTCGTATCCATAAATATAGAACAATACCTGATCTTTACATGAATTTTTTATTGTTTTCTATTATTTAAACCTAATCAATGTCAAACTTATCCTGATTAAAATTTGATTATTTCTGATCAATTTAATTTCAAAAAATATGGTATAATGACATATTACAATTAAAATTAGCGAAATTTTTGAGTTTTAATCAAATCTAACATATTAATATAATAAATTAAATTTAGAATTTTGTAATAATTCAATAATTAGCAAAAAGTTGAGTTATAAAAAATGCTGACATAATAGAAATTTTACGTGACGTATTATATTAAATTAGAAAATTCATATCGCAAAATAAATTTCAAATGAATAATACAAAAAATGCTAACATTAAATATTTTATAAAATCAAATTAATAATTTTATAATAATTCAATAATTAGTAAAAAGTTGAATTATAAAAAAATGCTGACATAACAGAAATTTTACATGATGTATTAAAAAATTTATATTGCAAAATAAATTTCAAATAAATAATATAAATTTCATACAAAAATGTTTATATATTAGATATTTCAAGTAAAAGCTTTGTTTGAATATTCATACGTGTTATATAATTCAAATATATAAGTAAGGTTTTTTCTTTTTTCTTTTATACTAAATTAAATCAAAATTTTAATTACAAAAAAATGTCTTTAATAAATTCTTCAAACATCTCTGTTACTGCTCATTTTCAATAGTTAAACAATTTGACGCGTACGCTTATTAATGAGCGAAAAAATCGCAATCAAGTAAATATTTATTTATTTATTTAATTTATAAAATATGTATAAATTGCTTTTTAAATTATTAAGATGAATTATATATAATATTTTTCTAGGAGTATCATGACATAGAAGGTATCTCGTATAAAGAATTTTGGCAAAGCGTTGCGAGAAATGTGAATGATATCTGTCAAACTACATTTACAGAGCTTCAATGCTAATGTAAATTCAGTTTTTTAGTTACTCAATACAATGTAAGCAAAATAATAATTAAAAGAAAATATGTATTTTATATAAGTAGGTTTAATAACTTAAATCTCTCTTTTTTCTTTTTTCTCTCTTTCTTAGAACATGCAATTAAAACGGGCCAATGATCCTAGAGGTAAGCAAAGTTGGACTGACAGAAAATATTTTGATGAGTTTGATACACGCTTCTAGGAGTTGCCAGGTAAATGAGAATAATTTTAGTTAAAATTATATTTTGATACTATTTCTATTTAGGTTTATGCTTAAATATTAATTTAATTTTTATTTTAATACTATTTAGATGATATTCATGATTATGAACAACATAGAATCGCAAGGGTTCAAGAAGAATAGGATGCTCAAGAAGGTAAGAAATTTGTTTAACTATAATTTTAAATCCTTTTGTTTTAATGTGAAGAAGTATTTATGCAAAAGTTATTCAATTATAATAAATTTTTTAGGAAGACAACATAAAACTGAGAGAGAAGCCAACCTGTCCTTCTCAAATATAATTGTAATTGATGATGATGATGATGATGATAATGATGATAATAATAATAACAACAACAACAATACCACCACCATACTATTACCATTAATAACATTATTAATAACAATTTTATTATTTTATAAATTTTTATTTTTTTTTTATTTTATATATAATTTACAAACAAATATCTTTTCTCTTTTTTTTCTTTTTTTATGTATTTGCAAACAATTTTCTTTTTTTTCCTTTTTTTATAAATTTGCGAACATTTTTTTTTCTTTTTTTATATATGAACATTTTTTTTCATTTTTTTTCAAACATTCTTTTTTTTATTTTTTTATATATATTTACAAACTATTTTCTTTTTTTCTTTTTTATATATTTACAAACATTTTCTTTTTCCTTTCTTTTTTTATATATATATATATTTATTTACAAACATTTTTCTTTTTTTTTCTTTTTATATTTTTTATATATTTGCGATTAATTTTTTCTTTTTTTTTTATATAATATTTGTGATCTTTTTCCTTTTTTTTCTTTTTTTATATATTTGCAAACTTTTTTCTTTTTTTCTTTTTTATATATATATACAAACAATTTTCTTATTATGCTTTTTTAATTATTTTTTTATCTTATTTATATAAGTTTTGCAAACATTTTTTATTATTATTTTTATTATTATGTAATATATATTGTGAACATTTAATTATTTTTTATTTTTATATTGCGAACAATAAATTTAATTACTAATAAAAATAATTTCTAATAAAATAA